ATCACACTCATTTATTAAGTTATCATAGACCCCACTTGAATATCTTTATAAAACCAGATTCAATATTTTGACTTTTCATTTGAAAAAGTAGATATTGTTAATCCTTAATCTCGAATCTATCAGACATAATTTATAGAATCATTTTATGTAGTGTAGATCAAAAGTTATGGGTAATTTATTAAATCTATCACTTCTAGATAAATCAATCATGATATCAACCCCTGTTTTTGGTTGGGTTTGTGATGCTCAGTCTTTAGTTTTCTATTTTCTATGTGTTGTATACTGTTGTTTGTCTTTTGGTCTTTTCTTTTTTTGCTATGGCATTGTCAGTTTATTTTCGACAATTGAGTTTGAATGTCCCTTTAGTATCTTTCGCCTCTCTTTTTTTATACATTTGTGTTTTCATTATTGAGGTCTGGCATGGTGTATTGAGTTATGTAATAAAGTGTCTGATTAATTATGCAAGACTGAGGCTTATTATTAATCAAATCAATATGATTGGCATTTAGTAGGGTTGGACATTCCAATTAAGGCCCCACCTTGTCTCTGATTGTTTGTTATCAAGGCAGCAGTCATTCATACTGGTAATGTATCAGTACACTTACCTAATAAAAATGACCAAACTAGCCAGCAGATTGACAAAATTTAAAAAACATACATACTTGAATATACTGCTCGAAAGATATAATCCAAATTTTTCACTGTTCATATGTGCATATATACACAGACATGGAAATTATTGAGAACTGTATTTCAGTGTGTATAAATTTAGTAGCTAATCTGGCTAGTCTTCATATTTGGGAGGCCGGTGACTTAGGAAAGAGTTGGAATAATAGTTCCAATCTTTCCAAAAACCAACTTTATACTAGATGCCCTTAGGATCATAATCATCCAAAGTTTTGCTGAAATTAGTTCAGTAGTTTCATACGAACCTAATTGTTTTGGTTGTATTGGAAGTTTTGCAGATCTTGCATTCCTGATTATATTTGCCCTTTATAGTTTCTTACCTATAAGTTACAGTTTTTCGAGATAATAAGGCAAAAACACTAAAATTAGTCAAAATTCATCATTGAAGGATTTTAATTCCAGATGGAGTCATCCAATGGTTTTGGCCATTTAACATTTTTGAAGACCTTGTTTTGCAGGTCATTTTTGCTGTTTACAGTTTCTACCTATCTAAGGTAATATAATTTTTGAGATAATAGGCAAAATCATGAAAATTACAGTGAATTCATTTATTTTGATGGATACAAATTTTCTTGGATTGAGGAAAAATTGCATTTTCTTGTATATTTGATTTCATGGTTTTGCCAAAGTCTACATACAAGCCTTTATAAAATTTGTACTTCATTGAACATTAAAATTCATGGTTCATGTACACCCACAAAATCTACGAAAATTAGTATCTCACAAATAAAAATGAATCCACGGTAGCCAAAAATCATCATTTAAGACCAATGACTCCCCAAAGAAGTCATCTTACAATTTTGGTAAAGAATTGGAAGAAGGTCGATAGAAATTGACATTCTGATCATTTTCCCCTTCACATATATTCTCCATTTATTATGATATTCAAGATATGACAATTTATGCATTCTACACATTTATACCCATGGGGACAATGTTTGCTGACTGACTGAGAAAAAACACCATCTTTCTACTAGATACTCTAAGGATCAATCATCCAAAGTTTTGTCGAAAATTGGTTCAGAAATTTTAGGAGAGAAGATCTTTAAAAAGGTTTATAAAGAAGATGTCCCCCAAGTGATGCTTTAACATATGGCCTTATGGAAAGCCCTATCCTGTTGACATGTATTAAAATTACACTCAATTTGAAGTAGAAAAAGAGAGGGAGAAAAATACCAAGGGGGAAATCAAAACTATAGTCGAAGAGAATCTGACAATGCAATGGCAAAAAATGAAAAGAGTACAAAAAGAACTAGAGGCTCTCAAGAGCCTGTGTCGCTCACCTGTATTTACTGATGCTTTGGAAATCATGTAAAATTAGGTTAAATCATAATTAATAGTATCAGATATTAGATATTATGATGATATCTAAGATAATAACAAATAAACTGCTTCGCTGAGCGCAGCTGGATACGCCCGCAGAGGTCCAACACTGAACAGTTGGGGCAAAAATGGACACAATATTCAAGCTTGATACAGGTCTGAATTTTGATTGTAATTAAATATTTGACATAATATAGGTTTCTGAATAAATGTAGTCAAAGAACTTGAAATTGGTTATATGAATTGAATTTATATTCAATTAAAGATTTCTTGCTGTTGTGCAATACACTGTGCTGTTGCCCAATACTTAGTAAATCTGTTGTCAGACTATAAACAAATAAAGTTCAATTAATTCTCAATGTCATATTAGAAATTTATGAAAATGTAAAGGGAGCTTACATCAATAGATATAAACAATTCACCAAAGTTTCATGAGAATTGCTGAGAGCATTTTTGAGTTACTGTCAGAAAACTGGAAAATCCCCCCTTTTTTAATGAATAAAATCCCACAACTCAGAAATGTCAAATCTAAAATATATATAAATCAAAAGGGAGCTCATGTCAATAGATATAAACAATTCACCAAAGTTTCATAAGTACTGCTGAAAGCATTTTTGATTTTTTGTCTGAAAACTGGAAAATCCCCCTTTTTTTTATGAATAAAACCCTGTAACTCGGAAAAGAAAAATCTAAAATATATATAAAAATAGAAAGTGAGCTCATGCCAATAGATATAAACAATTCACTACAATTTCTTGCAAGTTGGTGAAAGCATTCTTGAGTTATTGTCCAAAAACTGGAAAATCCCCCTTTTTTTAATGAATAAAACCCCATAACTCGGAAACGTAAAATCTAAAATTTATGAAAAACAAAAGGGAGCTCACGTCAATAGATATAAACAATTTACCAAAGTTTTATGCAAATTGGTTAAAGCGTTTTTGAGTTAATGTCCGACATGTTGACGACGGACGGACAGACGGACAGACGGACGGACGGACAGACGGACGGACAGACGGACAACGGTATACCATAATACGTCCCGTAAACGGGCGTATAAAAACTGTAAAATTTCTGTAAAATTACTAACTCAGGGGCAGCAACCCAACAACGGGTTGTCGGATTCGTCTGAAAATTTCAGGGCAGATAAATCTAAATCTGATGAACATTTTTGCCACCTGTCAGATTTGCTCTAAATGCTTAAGTTTCAGAGATATAAACCAAAAACTGCATTTTACCCCTATGTTCTATTTTTAACCAAGTCGGCCATGATGGTTGGAAGGTGGGGTCATCGGACAAATTTTATAAACTAGATACCCTAATAATGATTATGGCCAAGTATGGTTAAATTTGTCTCAGTAGTTTCAGAGAAGAAGATTTTTGTAAAAGATAAAAAAAATTACGAAAAAATTGTTAAAAATTGACTATAAAGAGCAATAACTCCTAAAGGGGTCGACTGACAATTTTGGTCATGACGACTTATTTGTAGATCTTACTTTGCTGAACATTATTGCTGTTTACAGTTTATCTCTATCTATAATAATATTCAAGATAATAACCAAAAACTGCAAAATTTCCTTAAAATTACCAATTCAGGGGCAGCAACTCAACAACAGGTTGTCAGATTTGTCTGAAAATTTCAGGGCAGATAGATCTTGACCTGATAATCAGTTTTACCCGGTCAGATTTGCTCTAAATGCTTTGGTTTCAGAGATATAAGCAAAAATCTACATTTCACCTCTATGTTCTATTTTTAGCCATTGCCGCCATCTTGGTTTGTTGGCGGGGTCATCAGACACATTTTTTAAACTAGATACCCTAATGATAATTGTGGCCAAGTTTGGTTAAATTTGGCCCAGTGGTTTCAGAGGAGAAGATTTTTGTAAAAAGCTAACTACGACGAAAGACCATGACGACGACGACGACGGACGCCAAGTGATGAGAAAACTAATCCAGTGTCACACACAACACTAATAAAAAAAACAAAGGACTGAGCAACACAAACCCCATCAAAACCTGTGGGTAAAATCAAATGCTCTGGAATGGTAAGCAGGTAGTTATTGTGGAAAGTCCTTTTTTAACTTACTTTGTTTTATTCTTATTATTAGTCACTACAATCCTTGCGTATTCTCAGACCTTTAATCCTTACTTTATGTGACCATGTATGAGTTTAGTTGCAAACTTCATGTAAGGTTAAAATAATAATTCAGAAACTCCTTTCCTGAACAATTTCAGTCTATCTTTTATCTCATGTATTGGTTGCAGCTAACATGAAGCTTTTGTTAACAGGAAGTTGATGTAAAAAAATGCATTCCAAGGTATAACATTAAGCTTGATACCAAATTTCATGAGGCTTTGATTTGTATAGTTTCTGAGAATAAGCTGACACACAGACACAGAGGTATGTCTTGCCTGTATGTAATTTTAATGTGAATGTTGAAATAAGATAGCAATACTTTGTTTAACATGTAAAATATTCAAAGTCAATGAACCATGACTGAAGGTACAGGGCCAAATATTTTCTGTGGAAATAAGATATGCCAATGCTAATAAAACTGCATACCAAATAGCATTGACTTACCATTAGAGGTTCCCCTTCAACTGACCTAATCACAAAATTTAACAAATTGTTGATACCCCGCAGACACCTACGCTACCAGAAACAGCACAGCTGAGTCTCTCTTGCCTTTTGACTCTGAGAACGAAGGCGACAAAAATGTCGGTTGGCAGACCAGTCATCAGACACATTTTTTTAAACTAGATACCCTAATGATGATTGTGCCTCAATTTGGTTAAATTTGGCAAAGTAGTTTCAGGAGAAGATTTTTGTGAAATTTAACGACAACGGAAGCCAATGGATGAGAAAAGCTCTCTTGGACCTTTGGGAAAGGTGAGCTTAAAATCAACATTGAAATTTATCCTAAATTTTCTTTATTTCACTCAATTTTGCTCATACAGGCAATCAATAGTCCAGCCAATAAAATGTTCAAATATTGGAACTTAAAATATCTATTTATTTCATTATGAAAACTAAAGTCGACATGAACTAAATCCGAGACCAAAAAATAGGATTTCTTATCCCTTGTCCTTTCACCAAAATCGATAAATGAAAATTGTGCACATCATAAATTTAGCTTCAGAAATTTTGAAATTAGTTGTAGGCTTTGCAAGCTTGGTAAAAGCAGCAACAAAATACCATGTAATATATGAGGGTGTGGATGGGGTTTACAGAATAGAGAATAATGGGCAAAAGAAATTAAAGAATAGAGAAAAATGGGGAAAAAAATAAAAGATAAATAATAATGAGCGAAAAAATTAAAGAATACAGAATTGAAAGACCCCCATCCATACCCTCATATATGTCTCTGCTAAAAAGATATTGGAACAAAATATTTATTTGTAGCAGTCTCTACAAACAGTATATTAACTTGCACAGCTTGCACACGTTCCGGAACGGGTTTTTTTTTGTTTGTTTGCTTTTTTTCAATTCAAATTTCTATCAAATTTCATATGATGGACTCGTGTCTATGATAAAAAATACGATTGCAACAGCTAACGATGTATACAAACAATTAATATCTGTTGACCCAATATACGATTCAATTGATTTTATATTACATTATTGAGTTTGTTCCCCTTTAACATGTTTAACGTTCAAATAAATCAAGTTAAATGCTTGTCACCTAATTTCATTCGAAACGATGTTCTCGAGAAGATTCACATTATTTACGAAATTGTCAATAAACATGTTCCATTTTGAGTATTTTCCCCTGTTATTAGTAAGTCAAATGAGTCCGAATTCTCGATAATTATTGAGTTAACTGTCACAAAACAGCAATAATACACAATGCTTAGTATTAAAACATAAATAACAACAATGATGTTCATAACTTTACATGTGTCCTCCCATCAACGAAACACATCAAGCTCGTTCAAAACGGCTCATCTATTAATAGTCTATAAGACATTCAGTACACTAGCTAAATGCTTCTGAAAATCTCAAACTGTCTGACGTTACTCGGATACAAATGACATCCGCTTGAAGAGAATCTTATTCCTGATTCCATTCACACCTTTCTAAAAAAAAAAGTGCACATCAAGATATAATCCAACTTACATATAGCAATGAATCATGTCTTCGTTCTCAATTCTGAACTCAACTGTAGAATTCAGTGCTCTCTTGATATAAAATCTATCTTAACAGTGTCGTAGGAAAAAATATACCCAGGGCAGGGTACATAAGCTTAAATTTCATGTGTCCCTTTCCTTTTTTATTTTTGCTATATCTTTCATATCATCTCCAAGAATCGTAGCGATCTCTCCTTGCATGAATGCCCAAGGAACGTTAGACCCAACAAGAGGACATTTCTTTCCACTCGGACAATATACTTCTGTCCCTGCACCTTGTCGCTTTATGCTGTCTCTAGAACACGGAAAACAAAATTTGTGATCCGCAACTGATGGACATTGTACGAAATGAGTATCCTCTAGACGTTCGTGACAAAGTGTACATCGTAAAGATTCTGAACTTGAAACTGACGACTCCGGATGAGTGTTACCACTAATTCCGTCTGCTATTTGTGGATGTCCTGTTGTCAATCTGCTCCTTGGAAGAACGCCGTTAGGGGAATGGTGAGTGCTGTTACGGCCCGGAGAACAAGAACCAGACGAAATGTTATCTGTGACATTCATTAAAGCTGCCATTGGTGATGGTCCGTTATGAGGTCCATTTACTCCATCTGGGGGTGTTGATGTCACAGTGTTGTTTCCATTGGGCGACATGGAAGTCGAACTTGTAGGTCCGTACGTTGCTGAATTAATTGTCAATTTAAGGGCTTCCGATTGGCTTTGAATCCATTGTTGCCTCTTTCTTTGTTCACCGAAGTCATTTTCTGGTTCAGGAGATGTTTTGCGCTTCTTAATTTGACTTTCAAATGATGCCTGGTGTCCGATCATTCTTGCATGACCAGTTGGTAAAGTTCTATGAATATTTCCTGGTGTGGGAAGTGGTGGTAAATTTGGATGCTTATACTGAGTTGGAACAAGATCCTGCTTTGCAGGTTCTTTAAAGAAACGCACAGTCTCTGATAAGAAGTCACTTAAATTTTTCCAGTCTCCACCCCCATGTTTCATTTCGTATTCAATATATTTATAACCAGAGGAAAGTCCCTTTCCAATTTCTTTCATACTATCATAGTGCATCTGTTTTGCAACACTTGTCGCACTTGTATAGATATTCCCAGAACCTAGAGGGTATTCAATGTATACTTTTAACTCATATTCGATTCCATTTTTTGAAGTAGCATCAAATGCAAACACTCTGCCGTAAATATTGTGATCCTTTTTGAATCGAATTTCGAATGGTGCTGACGTAGAAAGGAGGTTAGTTGAATCACGTATCATTGGTGGTCGTTTAACTATCTCTTCTTGACTACTGAACTTAAAAATATCGTCTGCATTGGAACTACTGTTTGTCAGATCTTCGTCATCGTGCTCTCTCTTTCCATTTATTGTACCAACTGTTGGAACATGAGCCATATTCGTACCCGGCATTGCGCCATAGGGATGTCGAGTCGGTACATTCATTCCACTGCTGTGAATCGATGGGTGTATTGGAAACACTGAACGGTTAACAGACACCGGGAAAATGTGTCCCCTTGAATGTTCAGCAATATTTTCTTCCGGTCTGTTGTGAATTCCATTCGTCAGTCGAGGTGGGAATTCGTTCATTACACCTCTTTGCCTACCTTCAAAACGGTCTGCAGATGAAGCTCTAGATTGTTCAAAGTGTTCCAAATTAGCTCTAGTTCCGGGAATTTGTCCAATAGGTTTTATACACTGGCGACCGTCATGGAACCCATGATTCCGTTTCATATTCCTTGCCGCATCGAGTACCATTTCAATTCTATCAGCCCCTTCATAGTTTACACAACCCCGACACACGGGTTCAGAAAAATCATGAACCATAGCCCATGGCATACGTGGTAAATCACATAGATAGCACTGTTGTCTCTGAGTCCTAGGTGGCATCGACATTGTTGACAATATTCCTCATTAATTAAACTTTTTCCATTTACGTTTTACGTTCATTGACTGTAACTAGTATCATAGACATATACTATGTCTTTGCTAGTATGAATGATATACTACTACCGCCTTCCACTTGAAAATTAACAATGTTTTCTATTTCGGCGCATGCGTTTTATATTCCGTGAAACTAATCGGCCTTTTTCTTTTGATATTCACATTTTGTGTGATCACGCAAAGTAGTTACTCTATTATTACAGAAGTGAATCACCAAAGGATACCAAAAAATTCAATATGTATACTGTGGTGTACGGTATCACTAGAAAATTCTTTGCAAAATTAAACACGCACACACGGATTGTCACTTTAAAATTGGATCGAACATACTGATCGCCTGTCAACAATTTAAATCATATATCATTAGTAGCTGCTTAGAAACCGTGGAGTGTTCATATATCCGTATTAAAGTATTTCAATTATATTTATATTTAGGTTTCAGACTGGCAATATTCAGTCAGATAACGTATCAGTTGCAAGTTGATTGTTATGAGGCTATGAGGAAACAACTAAAATTTATGCAGAAACATTTCTTTTCAGTTAATCATTACTTGATTGTGTGTTTTAAACAAGTATTAGTTTACGTGCGATCGTGTCTATTCGCCTGCGTGATGAATTCAACTATTAGTTAAGCCAGTATAGTTCAAAAGCAAGTTCGCATCGATATTTAAGATTGAAATGGGGAAACATTATTTGCAATTCTACACCTGCTATTAAAGAGCCGTCTCTGTCGGCAATCGATCGGAAAATCTATTGTGAGAGGTTTATGTCCTACATTTCCAACCATGGAAACACACACTTGTCAATGAACATGACGTCAGAAGTTATAAACAGGGTTGGATAATAGCCAACATTTCTCTTGTCAAAATTTATGTCCTGTCAGTTCAATTGGGAATAAATACACTAACATGTTATACGTACAATTTCCTTAAGATATCAACCGTGACAATACATACGTTGTCTTCCTATACGTAATGAATGTCTCAAATTCTTTAATTATTTCTTATCGTGTTCTTATAACTAACAAATATCAAAATAAAATACAATATCAAGCGGAGCTTAAATTAGCATTAGTTACGAATTAAACAAAAAAATATATTTGTTTTGATACAAACATTCATAAATGTGGAATGTAGCAATTATATTTCGCTATTAGAAATCAATTGGTTTCAATTTCGTCAAAATAAAATATAAAAAAACATCGCTGGTACTGTCAACTTCATTTCAAAACTTGGGTCTTTAATTTGGGTCATCTATTCATATAAGTTTGTTCAAATATGTAAAACAATGTATACAAGTCAATAACACGAAGACAGTACAAAGTATCAAAATGCTACACACACACACACACACAAAAAGACATAATTTGCAATTGTTATGTAAACTTTTGCAGGTAACAATAAAAAAACGTATGAAAAAGTTATTTTTGAACAAATTAAAACATAGATGAAAAAGATGATTTTTGACGTTTTCTCGAATATAACATAATATAACATTTTGTTTCTTATGGATTCAAAGGCATAAAATTAAAAAAATTGGCCATGTATGTATGCGTAACACGAATTGCTTAACACAAAAGTGCTAATTTTGAAATTATCTAGGACGAAAAAAAATAAACAAAAAAGCTCATGGAGTCCGCTTTCTATAACAAAATCCGCAAATCATTTTGGTGAAAAACCGTAGCTACTTATCAAAATTGTACATTTTCTCAGTTTAGACCTGTCCTGAGTCTGTGCTGGGGGGTCCTGGCGTTGTGCTGGTGGATCCTGATACGGTGCTGGTGATTTGTGGACAAGACGTTAGTCCTATTTGAATCAAACGTCAGAATCAATAAAATTAGGCAAATAATTATATTCAATCGTATTTGTATTCCTTTTTTAATTTTGGACATCCACTTGACTTTTAATAAGCGTTTTTAAATAATAGTTACTTCATACTACTTAAAAGGGCAATATCATCAGTTCTATATCAGACGGAAACATATTAAAATAATTTTTTATTACAGTATTAAACTGTACTTGAGATGGTAATTTTCATCAACATGCATCGTTCTTAGCTCACCTAGCACAAAACCCAGCCATGTGAGCTATTTATATCACACGGGGTCTGTTGTCGTCGTCCACCGAAACTTTAAATAAAAAAAAATTCTTTCTCTGAAACTAAAGGGTCAAATATTATCAAACGATTTCTTTTTCTTACAGAAATTAGGTAAAAGTAAATATTAAAAGAATTAAAAACCAAAAGGTTAATCTCAGCAAATTTGTATGTTAGTTTAAGAAAATAGTGACATCAAAAGCACTATTTTTTATCAGGGAACGGCATCTTTTACATATGTTCTTAATTAAGAGTGGGTGAATTGGAGGTCTGACACCTAAAAGGGAGATACTTGACTACTTCCCGTCTAAAAAAATGCCTCTTCCGGTGTCATATGAAAGCGTTTTGGCCAAGATGCCAGGCTAGTATTTCCCTTTGAAATACATGTACATGAGATTATTGACTAGTTCCGGTCTTCAAAATGTCAGTTCAGGTGTCATCTGATAGCTCACATTATTTGAAAAATATATGGTTTCTTTATACTTTTGCTCGAAATATACGGGAGATGATGAGCTAATTCCGGTAAACAAAATGTCACTTCTGGTTCATGTGATAGGTAATTACACACTGAATCTAAAACTATATGGAGTCTATGTTCTTTTAGATGAAACTAGTGCAAAAATGGCTACTTTCGGTTTACAGAATGTCACGTAATTGAATTTTTCAAGCCATATGTCGTCCAACCATATACAAAACACTTTATGGTATTTCATTTACCAGTAGGAAGTTCAAGCAAAGGTCAAAATATAGCACATCAAATTGACCGGTGACCTTGAACTCAATTTCAACATCAAAGACCAAGGATTTCAACATAAAAGGTCCCAAGTTTCATATCATATATTCAAGAAAAAATAAATTAAACAAACGGTGTTCTGTTGCGCTTTTATCCTTCTGTATGGACTTGTCAAGATTCTGGCAACGTTGTTAAAGGAAAAATTGCCGTAGAAGAGACTATGACTTTATGTCATTGTTCGCAAGTTATGTTCTATAACATTAAGCGTTTAGATTTGGTTGAAAAATTTTATGAAATATTGTTCCATTTCATGTCGGTATATTTAGCACCCTCTGTTGCACTTGAAAAATGGAAATATTTTGAAATTTTCCATTGCTACATGTATCAATGTGTCCACTCAATGGAATTAGCCTGTATTGCGGATGCTTTATTTTTTTAACTTTATATATGTTACAGTGAATTTGTATAATCAGGGATAATGAAGAATAGTTTAAGTGGACTGTTTGCAATCACTGTCCATTTATCAAATCTTAAGTGAACAGTTTTTCAGTGATATTCCATTTAACTGTGTTGAACCACATTAACTCATAAACAAAAATGTTTTTTAAAATTGAAATTAATAATACCAATATTCTCAATGATACTGATAACTGTACATGTATGCCATGAATTGTATTGCTTGCCGAAAAAAGTAACAAATGCACGTTCATGTTCTGAATATAAATGCACAGATCATATAAAGTATATATATATATGTGTATTGTATCAGACATCCTTGTTTAATTCCTACGAGAAGGTAACACCTCCCGAAACGAAAGCTGATTTTTATCAGCTATAGTTAGAAGAGGGGATAAGGTGTCTGCGCAATGCTAGGCGGTGTTGTCGTAGAAGTTAGAAATAAAAAGTACAGGTTCCAGCCCCACTCGGGGAGGAAGTAAAGAAACAGATCTACTCTAACATCGTTTGGTTGATTTTCTAGGCAACTTATATATATATATATATATAAACGCCTAGAAAGTGTACAAAACAACACCAATATTAAAAAAAGGAAACATTAAATGTAATTATCTATTAATATTTCGGATAACAGATATCCTTCATCAGTATGATTATGATGTAAAATGAATCATATCAATCTATTCTGATTTCAGTATAACGATCTTGAATTTTATACAATTAAAAACCGAACACAAAAACGCTTGTACAATTGTAAAATTTCAAAAATGACGTAGGTTACATAGGTATTTACAACAGAGACTGCATAGATATGCTTCTTATAAAGATAGTAATGTGCGATATGAACTGGTACATTTCTAAAATTTCAAAGGTGACGACAGTTAAGATGTTACAACAAAGACTGCGTGGAAATACATTCCGAATTAATATTTCCAATTTGACAACGGTAAATTTATAACAAAAGAGGCTGCGTATTTAAACATCCAAATAAATAGCAGTTGATAATGATGAAAACAATAATAATAAATTTTGACAAAGGTTAAGTAATTGAACGTGGCTGCGTACTTGTATATCCCAAATGAATAGAACCCTGCGATTTAAACTAGTATAATTCAAGAATTTTAGAGTTAACAAAGGTAAAGAAATAGCAACAGAGACTGTGTATAGTAATATTTATATAACCCAAATGACAAGCACTGTGCGAATTACAACTACACCTTTTCATTTATCCCATTTGGTGCCAAAATTTTGAATTTTCTTATCCAAATAAAGGCAACAGTAGTATACCGCTGTTCGAAATTCATAAATCGACTGAGAAAAAACAAATCCGGGTTACAAACTAAAAATGAGGGAAACACATCAAATATAAGAGGAGAACAAAGACAGAACAGAAACATTAAAATGCAACACACACAGAAACGAACTATAAGATAACAATAGCCATTTTCCTGACTTGGTACAGGACATTTTAAGAAAAAATGGTGGGTTGAACCTGGTTTTGTGGCTAGCCAAACCTCCCGCTTTAATGGCAATGTTAAATATAACACTAAAATAACAACATTACATGACAGGACTACAATACAAATAAAAGGAAGAACAATCAGGACAGAGATCTGTCCAAAATCTTTCCCGAGTGAGTCTATCCTCCCTAGACCAAGCAGTGTTGTGGTCTATGATTGTAATGGTCAGTCGATTGCGATCTGCCTTAGTGTGGCCAGGGGATCTCAAATGTCGACTCAGAGGAAGGTCTGGCTTGCATTCATAGTCGCTACGATGGCCGTTCATTCGTTTATGAAATGGCTGTTCTGACTCGCCAACATACTGTTTACCACATTTACACTATAGAAGATACACAGCATTTGTAGTCTTGCAATTAACATTGCAAAATATGGTGTATTCCGTACCAGTGGAGTGACTGTTAAAAGTCTGGGTATTCAGTATTTGTTTGCAAGTCAGACATCGTTTGTTTCCGCATCCCTTGCAAGAGCCCACAGACGAAGAGCCTGCTTTAGAGGATAAAACAACTATCACCAGTAAGTCTTTAAGGCTTTTGGGCCTACGGAAAGTCAGTACAGGTGGCTCGGGAAAGATCTTGGATAGTTTAGGATGTTTTTCAATTTCTTTCCAATTTTTCGCGGATTAGGTGTGATAACTTGTCAAATTTGGGATGGTAAGTCAACACAAACGGCACTCTTTTGATGACCTTTTTGTCTTTATATTGTAAAAGTTCATCTCGGCTAATGTTGTTAGCACGAGAGAAACCTTTATCAATGTATTTTCTTTTGTAGCCCCATTTTTTTTAGGTGACTGCGAAGTTCTTGTAGTCGCCTTTTTGCAGTATCATGGTGGAGCAGTTCCGTTTTATTCGTATGGCCTGACTGTAGGGAATGCTCTTGGTGCAATGTTTAGGATGACAACTCAAAGGAGAAAGA